AAGAAAAAGCTTCTCTTAACAGAATGGTTGTCAGAAGCGGGATTGAATTTCCACGCAAAACAACAAAAGCTTTAAAGGAATTTTAGAAACAGAAGAATGGAGAGAAGCACAGATTTTTGGTAGCAGCATTTTTCTCAGGTGTGCTCTGTTTTGCTAGCGACAAGCCGAGATTCACGTGGCTCGCTTACTGGAGTCTTCCTGACTCGGCATAAAAAGAAAAAAAAAACCACCAAGGTTGTTTTAAGAGTTCAATCTGCTACCGATTGAAAGGGGTATACGTACAGCTGGAAGTGGCAGCTTTTGCTGGAGGTCAGCATGGACTGAGGCGGTAACCTGGAGTCACGCTTACGCCCGCCATCTTGAAACGGCAGTTTAAAACAGCCGCGGTTTTACAGATAAGACACGTGGCCAGAAAAACATAAAGATTTACAGTAAAATCAGACTTGGATAAAGAAAAACTTCTAAAGGTTTACAGTGTGTTTAAAAATATATGTGAGATTGAGAGAGAAACTGAAACGACAAAGTGGTAAATAAATACAAAAGCTGGCGTTGTGGTGGCACACGCCGGTAGGATTGCTCCAGAGGCAGAGGCAGGCAGGTTTCCAAAGAGAAACCCTGTCTCAGAGAAAAATAAATAAAAGTGAAAGAAATAAAGTAATAATATATAAATAAATAAGCCACGTAAAGATGGAAAATACACAGAGAGTCTGGATACTGTACGCTATTGTGTTTTTCAGTTTTTTGCTTGCTCAGGAAGGAACTGCTGCTAAAGTACACTTGATTATAAATGCTGCTAGATTAATCCAACTTCTATCTTTTGAAAATGCCTTGACTTTAAAATTTAAGTATAAGGATATGTTACTTGGAAAAGGAGATTTTACTTATGTTTCCACAGAAAATGAAAAGCTGAGGATTCCTTCCAGGCTTCTGTGGTTTGACGAACCAAGACCCCCGGAAGCAGTGAACCAGGTGTTCCAACAATTGAGACAGCTAAGATGATGCAGCTTTACAGACCCGAAAATACGGACTTATACAGGTTTATGAGTTTTGTTATGATCCCCATGGTATGAACAGCACCCCCTTCCAGCAGGAAGCAGTTTGGAATGAGCGACGTCCTAATTCCCATCTTGTTTATAAATCTTTGTTTTCATTTAAATGGGATTGTTTATAATTGGCTAGTGATCACAGCCAATCCTTTTAATGGTAAAAAAGGGAATTATGATATAGGTATTGTTTTTCATTTATTGATACAAATTCAAGGTCAATTTTGTGATATGTATATTTCTCCTCTTGATTAAGTATTGTGCTTATACTGATCTTTTAAAATGTAATGCGTAATTAAATACAGATTATAGATAGTTACTTATAATAGTCAGAATTTATAGTTAGGTAAGTTAGGTTTTCTAGATATACAGAAAAATATTTGAGATAGATAAACAGTCTTCAAACCTCTCAAAGACCTTCAGAAAATGGCATTTAAAATGGTTTAGGGCTTTTCTTGACAATGAGAAATGTCTGCTCCTGGCAGCACCAATTACGTCTGAGAGGAAGATGGGCATCGAAGAAACTTGTTATGGAGTTTGCTTTCAACATGGCAAGATTAGCCATTTGGGCAAGAAACTGCTCTTGCCTGTACTGCTTGACTGTTGTTGTATAATCTGGACATGCAGGACCCACAGGAAAGTGACTGCTGAACTCAGTCTTACAGGGTTCCTGCTTCATGGAAGAGTCTAGGAGACGTTCTGCAGGACACAGAGAAATGACTGACAGACTGCCAGCGCAGATGGACAGTTTGAAATTTCCTGCTTTGCTGAGAAGTGTTCCAGACACATTGTGGCCTATGGGCTGAAGATGGATGCCCCAACGTTACAGAGGAACTTCGGGTGACTGTCCAGGCAGTAAGATGTCTCTGTCAATCCTACTGTTTATATATTATCCTTCTGTGGTCTTTGATGGAGTTGAAGACAGATAGTTATAGTTTTCCTTAGTTATGATAAAAGATAAGTTACATATAGAACTTTGAACTCACAAGGATGGTATGGATGATATTTTCTTTAAATCTTGCTAAAATATTGTAACTATGTTCTTATTTGCTAACTGTTCTGTTATATACAATTTGACTGTGTTAAAGTTAAGACCTTTCTTTTTGTTTAAACAGAAAAGAGGAGATGTTGGGGAAGTCTTATGCTAATAAAGCACTGTCTGGCCAATAGGAATCTAGATAGGTGGGGCTAGGAATCCAGGAGGATTCTGGGTAGGAGAAACACAGGAGAGTCGACATGTAACGCCGGGTAGGAGCCCGGAAACTTCTCTGGTAAGAGACATACTTAGATTAACAATTATGGGGTAATTACTTAAAGCAGAGCTAGCCAGTAAGAGACAAGCAAGGCCAACAGCTTCATAATTAATATAGCCTCCTGTGTGTTTATTTGGGACTATTGCGGATCTAGAACCAGGCGGGCGGAAAGGCTCCACTCAAGGAAAGCTTCTCTTAATAGGTATGTTTATGGTTTTGTGCTTATAAACCCGATTTCTGCCCCTTTTGGTGGATTCCAGGGGAAACAAAGTTCCTGAGTCCTTGTCCTGCAACCCTGATCCATCAATGACTTCACTTATGTTCTGATTTATTAAAGTCTTTGGAACCTGTAAGAGTAGTCTCTCCCTCCATGTGTTGCAAAATGGGCTGGGTATAAGAATTGATGTAATTTACATGCCTGGAAGCCACAACAAGACCTGAGTTAACAAAGTTGAGGAGTATATGGACCAAAGGAAAACTGCCCACCTTGGTGGGAATGGAAGCTAATATGGCTGTCATGTAAAACAACATTGGGCTCCTCTCCTCAAAAATTAAAATGCATCCATTGGACCATCAAACAACCTCACTCTCCCATGTCCCTGATTAAAAAAATGAGATACTCTAAAATTTAAGAAGCTAGGTATTAATGTATTCATTAATCCCGAAATTGTTGCTGATGAATATAAATAAAAGGAAAACAATCTAAAGAAATTCTTGCCCACCACCAAAGTTCCCCAGAAGATATACAAAGTAACTCTTCAGCTTGAAGATGAAGACAAAGGCAGTCATGAGCCCACTATGAAGAGTGAAACCATGTGTGAAAATGGTTAAGAAAGAAATGAGGGGAAACAACATTATCAGATGAAAGTAATACACAACTTTTAATTAATAATTCGAGTTGATACTAGAAAGCCAATGCTTTGCATTCCACAATCAAAGAAAATAGATTGGCAGATTGAACTAAAAGAGAGGACACAACTATTTATTGCTTCAAGAAACACACCTCAAGGTCAAAGACAGTTAATACCTTAGGGTAAAAAGATCAGCCCATCAGCTTTCTCTCCTTCTTACTACTGATGAGGTGAGTTCTTAAGCATTGCCAAGGCTAGCTCATCCAATGCAGGCTGCAGCAAAGAATGGAACCAGTTCTCCTGCCCTCAGGTTCTCAGAGCTGGCTACCCACACTGACACCACAAGGGTCAGCTCTACTGTTTTGCCCAGGTGAAGAGCAGGGCTCTTTATCCTAATTACTGTAGGAGGCATGTGAGAGAGTGGAATTAGCTCTCCTGAACTCATGCCCTCAGAGTTGACTTACCTGTGACCCCTACAACAGGTTCATCTACAGTGGTCTCCCCAGATAGGGTGTAGGGCCTGCTGTTCTGTATGCTGCAGCTGGTGAGGCACAGGATTAGTTCAGTCACTCTCATGACCCTGGGCCCAGCTCTCTCATCTGCTGTGGGTGATAGAGGATAAGCAGGGGAGAGGACATCTTTCTCTCAACCATGCCACCACATGGCAGGCACATGGGGGAGGGATCAGGTCTCTGGCTTTTAATCCCTCAGGGCCAGCTCACCTGCAACCCCAACTACAGGATCAAGTTCTAGTGTGTTGCCTAGGTGAGGTACAGCCTGTGATGAAAGGGGGAGTTATATTTCTGGACTGTGGGGGCCACCTCTCCTGCTATAGTATCAAATGAGTGTCAGGGCCAGCTATCCCAGGGTCAGTGAAGGGAGGGGCCAGCTCAATAAAGCACTCAGATTTCAGCAGGCATGGTTCCTAGGGACTCCTATGGAAACACAGGCCATGAGCATCAACACAGACCCCAGCCATAGCAGGACAATGGGCCCAGACATGGCCCTTGCTAAAAGCTCAGGTCTTTATGTCACCATGGCCCCAGTGGCAGCACAGGATACACAAATCAGTATGGCTCAGGAGGCAGCATGGCCCTCAGATATCAAAATGGTTTCAAGTAGCAGCCCAGAACCCTGGTATCAACATGGCCTTCAACGGTATCAAGAGCTTCAGACATTAAAGCAGACCCTGGATGTGATCGTGCCACAGGGTCAGACACGGTCATTGGCAGCAGCCCTGGTCCAGCTGACACCATAGCCCCAGGTGACAGTGCTGGCCACCTGCTCACCATGGACCCTGTGGCAGCATGACCACAGGTGGCAGCCCACACAATAGGTCTCTGCATGACCCTCAGTGGTGACAGTAGACACAGACATCAGCACAAGCCTCCTGGGATGCTTCAGAGACTCAGATCAAGACATGACCCTTGGCAATAACCCAGGCCCATGCATCACCTTGTACAAGGGTGGCTAGGGCGTCATTCATATGAACCTGTTCCCTACTGTCCTCACCTCTTCAGAGCTGCCTATTTCCCCAGTCCGTGAACCATTCTGGCCCCCTCTCTTTTCCATTTTAACACCCTTTACTCAATCACTATTGTGGTGTCCAACCACCTGGTGGATTCACTGGAGGTGCTTGGTTGAGCACCAACCCCAGCCACAAGGCATGGTACAGAGCTGCTGCTTCTTCTCATGTGTGCCAGGGTCTAGCTGCAACCAATAATACATATAATCTAACAGGAATACCACAGTAACTCATGAGGACACACCTTCTTTACATACATGATTTGAACACTCCTGTGTTTGACACACTGTGCTATTCTCTGAGAATACAGGAGTAAATTTCACATAGGTATTTCTTATTTGTTTACTCGGAATAAAATGGACTGCAAAGCAAAACAGGCTAAAAGAAGAAGGATCTTCACTGAGAAAAGTATTTTCCTAAATGAGATATGCTTGCATTTATCTAAGAAATAAAAACACAGTCTAGGCCGAGCGATAGTGGCACACCCCTATAAACCCAGCACTTGAGAGACAAAGGCAAGCAGATTTGAGTTCAAGACCAAGTGGTCTATAAAGAAGGTTAAGGACAGCCAAGGCTACACAGAGAAATCCTGTCCTGAAAAACAAACAAACAAAAAGAAAAACAAAGAAACAATCAAAAGAAAGAAAGAAAATGATAAAATACAAACTCAATATAATCATTCCACTACAAAAAATGAACTTTAAAATTTTATTTCATTACTTATTTGTTCATGTTTATACACATAGCACAAGTTTGAGGGTCACAGACAACTTGCTGTGGATAGTTTTCTACTTCCAACACAGGGTTCAGGTGTTAAGCTCAGGTAATTAGTCTTAGTCATAGGTGCCTTTGCCTTCAGAGGCTAATTACTAGCTCTGAACAAATACTTTAATACAGAATAAATATATGTATCAGGTGGTGATGCATAGCTCTATTTCAGCCATCTCCAGATTAGGATTACATAGCAGCCTTGCTACAAAACTAAATTTACAAAAGGGTTGGTGGCAAATATAAGTAGTGCAGTGTTTGCGTAGCATTGGTTAGAAGGATTGATTCAAATGTCAATCAAGTAAGAAGTCAGAGCTAACAGAAGAGATACTTGTGACCTGTCATTTCGTCCTGTTTGGGACTCATCAGTACAGTGTAGCATATGAACAACAAGTTTTAAATGCTTTGCTCCTAAAATTCACACATCTGTAGACAGTTGCTTTGAAGGAGGTTCAGTAACTAACTGTGACCTGATATGAAAAGTGCCTGATAAGGAATAAAATTCAAAGGGCATACTCATATATGAAACTCTCAAAAAAGTTAAATTAGGGAAATAAAATGACATTTGCTTATAACAGACTTTAGTCTATTTTAATTAAAAAATAACAACACCGAGAGGAAAAGTATAAAACCTTTTGGACAATGGTATTGGATCACAGAGAGTACGGCACTGGTTTTGATCCTGTCTAGATCTCCCTTCATGTTGGTCACTGAATTCTGTAAAAGAATGATGGTAATGTTTACAAAATATTTGGAGGCCTCAGACCAATTATGATCTTTCTTGTGATTACTGAACCATCTTCATGGCTTCAGTCACCCCACATTTTTAGTTTCCATGCCTTTAAAGCAAGGACCAATGGAAAAAAATCAGATAGGATCATAAAAGTAGAGGTTACTGATACAGACAAGACTGTTCTTTAGGTTTAAGATATGAGTACTAACTCATACCCAAACACCTATTTAATTTACAATCATCTGTGTTCTTCCAATTTCCTATGTCTGTGCTCCTCTAAGTGAGTTTTCAACTTCAGTGTCAACACATATTATTGGTGGATTTTGATGATAATGTTAGCAGATCAGGAGTGGAGCAGCAACTGCAGATAACAGGTCACAGAGTATCTTTGATAACCAATGCTATGCAATTCCTACCCTCGATTTGAAATCTTTGGGACCTGTAAAATATGTCTTGGACTTGCTACAAATCCACTTCCTGTGTGTGTAGTCCCTTGCACTGCTGATCCCCATGTCACTCAGGTAGCCACATTCTCCTTTTCCTCTGGTGGGAACGCTGAAGGAAAACAAACAAACAAACAAATGAAAAATTCTGCACAGGCCAACATTGCTTTCAAACACCTCAACTGGTTTTGCACCTACCATCTTTTACATACTCAGATTTCAATTTGAGCAACACATCTTTGTCTTTTGTCAGTGTTGACCCTGTAAAGTGTGTACAAAGCATTTGGCTGGTGCTTACTGCCATGCTCAAATGGCCTGCTGCAAGGTGTGGCTTCACTGAGGGTAACTTTTAATTCTATCTTGAAGCATTTTACACATATATAAAGGTGGGAGAAAACCTCCTTCTTAGTGAAATTCTGAAAGGTCTTTAATGGTTATGTGACTGGGTCTGTGTTTTGTGGTTCCAGAGAATGGCTCCATTCCAAATGGCTAATCTCACTTCCAAGAGCTGTAGTGATATATATATTATTTATGTTTTTTTAAAAGCTTGCCTGAGGATTCAGAAAGTGAAATCAGACACAAGCCTTAGAAGCCAGACACACACCTTTAATCCTAGGACCCAAGATTAAGAGGTTATCAGATCTCTCTGAGTTCAAGGGTGCCCAGGTATACAAGAGATTGAATCAGTCTAAAGGAGTAACAGCTCACACACCTTTAATCCCAGCTCTAGAGAGGTGTAAAGACAGAAGCAAGGCCTTCAGTATTCAGCAGGAGGCATTCATTCTCCAGCCACACTGAATAGACACATTCGTTCTGCAGCCATCCAGAACAAAGGTTACCATCTGAGGCGTGGTGAGAGCTCATGGAGACAGGGTCAGCCCATTCAGCCTGAGTCAGAAGTAAGAATCTATTGGCTGGCTGCTTTGCTTCCCTAATCATTAATTTAAAGTTTGAACCCTAATATCTGCCTCTGGGTCATTTACATTTCACGTCACAAAGAGCTGTCTCAGTGTTCCTTGATGATGAGACTTTAGAGGAGGTTCGCAGTGACCCTGGAGTCTCTGCTTCTGTGAGATGTGCAGCTGTGCACGCAGTGAACTGACTAGTCTTACCCCAGGAGCTCTGCAGTGGTTTCCTTGGGTTTCAATGCCTTCACTGCCCATTCTAGGGTCTGTCTACATATGACAAGGGTGTTTCTCATTAAGGAAGAATTTTCAATTGGTGATGGAGCAGACCACATTTACCCCAGATGCCATCATCATGATAAGATTCAAGTGAAATCACACTAAGTGAACGCTTTGGAAATGATAACCAATAAATGGGAGAACATCCAAAGGAGTTACATGTGTAAAGAGTTTACTGGGAATTGGTTCTGCATATAAGCACACACCCTGCCTCTGAGTCACAGCTCCACTTGGAAGGTTTAAGTTATTAAGTTATTTCCTTCCCAGTATAGTTGGCTTCAAATGACACAGCCATTCATCTCTTACACACACACACACACACACACACACACACACACACACACACACACACACACAGAGAGAGAGAGAGAGAGAGACAGAGAGAGAGAGAGAGAGAGGGACAGAGAGACAGAGAGAGAGACAGAGAGAGATTTACACAGAAGAATGAAAAGTGTTGTGAAAACATACAACTTGTTATATTCAATGTCGTCTGTCCACCTCCAAGGATGCTGTGGTGAGTCTCTGTGCAGGCCAATCCAGTGGTCAGAAGGCCCTTTGTATCTCTTCAGGAAATTCTGTCATAAAACACAGAAAGAAAATACACATGTCTCTCAGCTTCAGATGACCTTTGAGTGTCTCCTACCTACAGCCTCTTCTAGGGATGGCAGCTGAGGGTCATTGGTTTTTTAGCCATGATAACCCTCAGTTCCCAGCGGATGCATTTTATATGCATAATCCAAAGTACACTGATGACTGGCCATCCCGCTGCAGCTGATTAAGAACATCCTTGGAGTTTTTAAGAGATGCCATTTTTGTATACAACATGCAAGTTCTCAGAGGAAAATGTATATGACCACAAGTTATCTTGGTACATTTTATGGTTTCCCTTGAATGTTTTACTATGAGCACTACATGAGAGCATGATTCTGGAATGTCTCGGGGCTACAACCAGAAGCAATAACACTAGAAAATGGTGTGTACCAATGTGCTACCCATATGCCCTGCATACCCCATCGGTCTGGCATGGGCTTCTTCCTCGTGCTTCAGCTTTAAGATCGCCATCTCCAGGCAATACACATTCAACAGAACAAACCACAAACCAATCCTGATCCTTCTTACCAGCTCCTCTAGGCTCTCAAATCCAGCTAGGTGGGCCTCTAGTGCCATGCAGTAGGTCTGGCTGAGTGTCCAGTTTCTCATGTCTTCAGAAAAATAAAAACATTTGCTTCCAAATCCAATCCAGTCTTTTGGGCAGGTGGCATAGCAGGTGGCACAGTCTCAGTGACTGATCTCACTAAAATGTAAACAGTATAATGAAATATAATAAGAATATTTCCATGTCTGTTCACTTTGGCTAGTATCTAAATATCAATGGTGGGGATGAACTTGGACTACTCTTTCATAACTGATCTCTAGGAAACCAGCCCTTGTATGGTGGTCCCCAATCCAGGTCCTTACAATCAACTCTGAGGAAGTGTTTTGTTTTTCTACTTTGTATTTTGTGTTTTGAAACAGAATCACACTATGTTCCCCTACCTGGACTGGATCTCACTCTGTGGACTATATTTGTGTGGATATTGTAATAATCCTGCTGGCTGTGGCTTGTGAGTCCTGAGACTAAAGACACCGTAACCAGTGAGTGTAAGGGTGAGACCCACAAAACTCTTCACGCCCTGTCATGTGACCCAGGCTGTTACTCTTGGGTATGTAAGAAGAGAATTCCACATCCTACAAAAGAGATACTTGTACATCCATGGTTATTGCTCCTCTATTTACAAATCGTAAGGAACTGGACCTGACCTATATGCCCATCAACTGACAGACAGATAATGAAAGTGTGTTACATGTTATTCAGCAGTAAGTGAATAATGAAACTTTTAGCAATGTGGGTGGCCTGGCAAATTGTAATGTTGAGTCTGTAATGTATGGTGGAAACCGCTGTGAGTGTATGCATGGTGTAACACATAGGAATGAGAACAAGGAGGAGCAATGTAATTCCATGGGGAACAACAGGGTGTAGCAAAGGGTCCATAAGTTGTCAAAAAAGAGCTATAAATGGCATTGCTTCCTAGTTTTAACTCTGCCATAACTTTTCTTTCCTGTGGCAGATAAGTGCATAAAGATGTGATCCACAGTGAAGGTATAAAACCATAACCAAAGCTCCATGGCTTCAGAGAGGCTGTTGCAGCTGTGTGGAAGTTCCATGAGATACACAGGGTTTGGGACTTGACAAATGTTGGAGTGGCTATGCCAATGGGGCTGTGTGGTGTGTTCACTTATGAGCCCACTGTAATAAAGTGCTGTGTGTGTAAGTCTACATGTATTTGTGTGTGTGTATTTGTGTGTGTGTGTGTGTGTCTGTGTGTGTGTGTGTCTGTGCAAGAATATGTGGGTAAGTAGCTCTGAATGCAGCAAGGGTTCAGAGGACAGTTTAGAAGAATAATAGACATTTTCTATCATCCCTTTTACTTTCCCTTCTTCAGCAGGTCAGAATGAAACTGCTGCTGTGTCACTGCTCTATTGAGCCCAAGAAATAAATGATTTGATTAGAAATATTAAATACCCAAGATGACTCCCCAGTTATTTTTAGTGGATGAGAATTGTTGTAGTTGTCCCAGTTCATACACCCAGTAACATGAGGCTTCAGTGAAAGAAACAAATGCAATGGAAGTGAGGTTGACTGTCACTTTTTTATTTGACTCTTCAGAGCTACACAGTGGTTTAGGTATCAGTGACTAAGACTTGTTGCAGATGCTTTTCCTGTTTAGATATGTATGTATTATTTTTGGCTTGATTAAAGTTGATTTTTAAATACAATATTGGGTGGTGGTAGTACACACCTTTAATCCCAGCATTTGGGAGGAAAGACAGATGGATCCCCAAGTTCAAGGCCAGTTGGTCTATATAGTGACTTTCAAGACAGCCAGGACAACATACGGAGGCCCTGTCTCAGAAAAACAATATATCTATATTTATACTTATATCTATTTATTCATACACACATATATATATATATATATATTATCATGGACACATTTCCTTCAGCTATGGCAGTAAAGTTGCACAATATTTTATTCCAGTATTCAGAGCAGTCTATATCTAAAAGCTTAGGAATCACATCTTCTGAAACTTTCTATTTAATATTGTCAGACATTGTCTGAGGATATTAACTGAAACCATGGGTCATGGAGTGGGACTTCTGTATCTTCCTCAACCTTATTAATCTTTACTGTTCTCACTCCCCATTGCTGTGGCAATCTCCTTGAGAGTCTCTTTTCAAGTTTTCCTCTCCTTTTTCTCTGTGTTGAATAGTCCCCACAGGTAGACGTATGTCTCCTGCATCACTCTCTAGAGGTTGCTGAATGTCATCTTCCCAGGGATGCTGAGCCTGGTCTCCTGTGCACACCACAGCCTGTGCTGTCCCTTCATGGCTTCTTCCTGCTAGACCTTAAGTTCCCAGAGAAAAGAAATTTCCAGTGTGTTTTGTCTCGAGCCCTCACACAGTGCCTGACTCATAGTGGTCGGTAAATATTTGCTGACAACGTACATGTGTAGAAAATGCTGCCCAATTTGGAGAACAAGTCACTCACCTGACAATGACAAAGCAACAGAAAGTGCAACTACAGCTACAGTGAGGACCATGATCACTGCATAGCAGCAGTAAAGCTTAACAGGAGACTCAGTGGAGATGGTTCTGAGACATTTTCCATGGAGCTTTTTACCTGAGAATATAAATATCAGAACATCACTTTCAAGATAATGGGGACCCAGAAATGGGAAAGGGTGTCTATTCAATATTCTACTGTGACTCTGGGGGTCCTAGCAAGGACAATAGGGACTATTGGTATTCAGACAACATGGATATATCTACACATATATTTCTAAGAATTCTATTAAAAGGGATCTAAAAATAATGTAAGTGTTTGCAGTGTTGTAGGAAAATATGTCAAGGGGAAAAATAAATTCCATTTTTGGGTATCAGCAATTGGGAAATGCAAACAATTGCACAAGGATAGCAATATACACAGAACTTTCAAATACACAATTACACATCTAATTAAATATTGAGTTTTTTAAACTCTTAGTACATTGTAGGTCCAATTTCTTCTGAGAGAGACAGAGACAGAGAGACACATACAGAGACAAATAGAAAGACAGAGACACACAGTGGGGGAGAGGCTGCTAGCCCACTGTGGTCCTTTCTATGTCCTTTTAGGGACCATAGCAGAGTGCTCATTGCATTTAATCTAATTTATTTTTCTGGTGTATGGGTAAAGCTTTTGGAATTGTAACCAAGAAATATTTGTCTAAGACAAGCTCTCTCATTCATAAAGATATTTTTCACTTTTTTCTTCAAATAGATTTAAGGTCTGTGCTTCATGTTTGGGTCTGTGATCCATTTTGAGCCTGTATGGGGTGTGAGTCTTACCATGAAAATCCACTAAGCAACATATGCAGATGACTTTTATCCTCTTCCTACTTAAGAACTGTCCACCTTCCCCAGCCTACAGCACACATGCACTATAAACACACATTGATTTTTAAAAAGAAAACTGAGCTGTTATGGAATAAAATGAATAGAATAAATACATGCTTTAACTATGTCTAATATTACCAAAATGTGGGGAAAATAATTGAAAACTAGTTTAGCATTTTGTTATAATGAGATGGTATTTACCTCATGCCCTGTACCTAAGGGACATGCCTGTGTTTACATAAAAACCTCTCTGTGTTGATAGCAGCTTTATGAATTAGCCCTGTATTTCCCAACAGCTCAAACATCCCTGAGCTTGTGACAAAATAAAGCAACATCACTCAGCACTGGGGAAAATGACAGAAAAAGGAAACCTGGACATCATCTTGCACCTGCCCATATCTTATGCTGGTTAGATGATCCTCAGCCTGCACCCACCGTAGGTCCCTAAGTTTGGCCATACACACCAACATAAATTAAACAAATGTGTCCCATACCAACCAAACTAACAAACAAGAATCATATTTCAGGCTTTTGTAATTAATTTATTATTCATTTCTCTTGCATAAAAGACTTGAATATTATGTACTCTGACAGAGTAGCTAATGTAAGAGAGGCCTCCTCAAATCTCCACTTCTACAGAGTCCCACTGTGACAGGCTAGCAGGTGTATCAGCTTCTCTGAGGGTCCCAGGTGAACCTCATCTCTATCTTTTATTATGAATCAAATTGGATTAAAATATATACCTATTTCTTTCTCTTTTAAAGAAAATATTGTAAATTTTAAATGCTATAAAAATTCCAAAGCACGACAAAAGAAAAGAAAGGGAAAGCCAGTTTGGAAGCAGCACTTTGCATATATATATAATATATAATATATATTAATGAATGCTAAATGTAAACAAATTAGAAAGAATAAATATAAGTAGAGACTATGGTCTCTACTTGGGTATAGCAGGGTTGTGTGTGATTCAACATGCAAATTTACCTGGTGTACACTTACATTTTTAACAATTCCTTATTAAAGGAGTTTTGAAATTGTCCCATATCCTCTCCTGTGCTATTTAGGCTATGTGTTATTACTCTGACTAAAGATGTGGAAATAGAATGAAATATACCAATCTGATCATGAGAGAACTCTGAGTTTGACCCAAAACTCTAACCAACATAGATCATTATTCTTACCTAGGTTCATGATGAGATGATTTTTATTGTAGTTAAGTCTACATTCTTTATAAATTATTATGCATAATAGTAAAACTAAAATATAAGTGATTTGTAAAAGCCTTATTAATTCTTTGGATGATATTTTAACATTACATCTTCTCTGAAAAGTGATCACAAAGGAACTTAGGTGTGGTGACACATGCCTGTATTCCCAGAATTCCAAAGGTGGAGGCAGGGAGATTGGAAGAGCAAAAGATCAATGCCATGTTTGGCTACAAACTGACTTGAGGACATCCTGGAATACATGAGACTATGTCTTAAGCAACAAAACAAAAGGTAAGTGGAAAAAATACATACCTATTTCTCCGTCTTCTAGTCTGTCTGGACTAACGGGGTCTGTCTTTAGTATGCCCATGGAAGGCTCTTCAATCTTTGCAGCACTTATCTCTGAGTTGAGAGGAAGAGATTCAGCTGAATTCAGGAGGAGGTTTGCAAGTTGGAACTGTGGAGAGAAAGAAAAACCCTTGTATTCTGTGTGTTGTTTCTAGTAAGTACTTTATAAACTCAGTCCAGCCTGTCTGGGTGACTTATTAACCACTCCTTATCATCCTGAATATGGGGCCTCTCAGCACAAAGAGTTATAGAATTACAGAGTAGGCTGGGTCCTCTGTGAGAATCAGTGTAATCTCACTACAAGTAGAAAATGCTCTAGAAGTCTTGTCCTTTCCTCCTCTCTCTGTATACAAGTTTTCCCCTTTTTTAAATATTTGATTTCATTTTACATTACAACCACAGTTCTCCCTCTCACCTCTCCTCCCAACACCTTACCACCTCTCACACTCCCTCACCTCTCCCCTATCCTACACCCAGTCCACTCCTCCTAACAGGTAAGGGCTCCCAAGAGGAGTCAACACAGTTTGGTACAATAGGTTAGGGCAGGGCCGGACCATTTCCCATGCATTAAGTCTTAGCATGGCATTCCACCAAAGGGAATGGGCTCCAAAAAGCTAACTCTTATACTGGGATTATATCATGGTCTTACTGCCTCTGATCATAGCATCTCACCCTAAGGAACAGGCTCCAACAAGCTAGGTCATGTACCAGGTTTGTATCTGGTCCTACTGCCAGGGGCCCCTCTGATAGTCCAAGCTTCACAACTGTCTCCCACATACAAAGGGCCTGGTGAGTCCCCTGGAGTCTCCACAGTTGTAGGTCTAGAGTCCACAAGTTTCCACGAGCTTGGTTCATCTCTGTAGATTTCTCCATTATGACCTTGATCTCCCTTGCTCATATGTTCCCCCTCCCTCTGTTCGCCTGGATTCCTGGAGCTTGGTCTGGTTCTTGGTTGTGGATCTCTGCATCTGGCCCCATTGGTTAGTGGATGAATGCTCTATGATGATAGTTGGTGTATTCATTAATCTGATTACAGGTGTAGGTCAGTTCAGTCATCTTCTCTACTATTGGTAGGAGTCTTAGTTGGAGTCCTCCTTGTGGATTCTTGGGGTTATTCTAATCCCATAGTTACTCTCTCTTAAGATATCTTTTCGTTGCACTTCCACTGCATCCCTCCCCACCTGGGCCATCTCATTCCCCCCTGTTCTCATCCCCACTCCACTCCCCCTTACCACATTTTGCCCTGTAGATATCATCTAATTTATCTTCCCAGGGTGACCCATGTTTCCCTCTTAGGGTACTCTTTATTACCTAGATTCTCTGGAAATGTATATTTTAGTCTGGTTATCCTCTGCTGTACATCTAATATCCAATTATGAGTGAATCCATACCATGTTTATCTTTCTAAGTCTGTGTTACCTCAATTAGAATTTTTTCCAGTTCCATCCATTTGTCTAAAATTTCATGAAGTCATCATTTTACTGCTCTATTGTATAAATGTACCACAGTGTCCTCACCCATTCTTCACCTGAGGGGAATCTAGGTTGTTTCCAGGTTCTGGCTATTATGAATGATGCTGCTATGAACATGTGGTATGATTGAGCATCCTTTGAGTAAATGCACAAGAGTGGAATCCCTGGGTCTTGAGGTAGATTGATCCCCAATTTTCTTTAAAAAGCCCCATACTGATTTCCAAATGGCTCTATACTTTTTCCCTCCCACCAGAAGTGAAGGAATGTTCCCCTGACTCCATATCCTCTCCAACATAAACTGTCCTTGGTATTTAGCCATTCTGATAGGTATAAGATGTCATTTAGATTTGCATTTCCCTGATGATTAATGATGTTGAGCACTTCCTTAAATGTCTTTCTGCCATTTGAATTCTTCTGATGAGAATTCTTTGGTTAACTCTGTGCCCCATTTTTCAACTGAGTAATTTTGTATTTTGATGTCTAGTTTCTTGAGTTCTTTATATATTTTTGAGATCAGCCCTCTGTCAGATGTGGGGTTGGTGAAAATCTTTTCCCATTCTGCAGGCTGACGTTTTGTCTTATTAACAGTGACCTTTGCCTTGCAGAAGATTTTCAGTTTCAGGAGGAACTATTTATTGATTGTAGCTTTCAGTGTCTGTGCTACTGGTGTTATATTTATAAAGTGGTCTCCTGTGCCAATGTGTTCCAGGCTACTTCCCACTTTCTATTCTATCAGGCTCAGTGATCCTGGATTTATGTTGAGGTTTTGATCCACTTGAATTTGAGTTTTATGTATTGCAAGAGATATGAACATATTTGCAATCTTCTATATGTTAACATCCAGCTATGACAACACCATTTGTTAAAGACATATTCTTTTTTCCATTGTACTATTTTGGCTTCGTTGTCAAAAATCAGGTGTGCATGGGTGTATAGATTGATATCAGCGTCTTTGATTCAATTCCTTTGATTCACCTGTATGTTTTTATCCCAATACCAAGCTGTTTTATTGCTGTAGCTCTTCAGTAGAGTTTGAAATCTGGGATGGTGATGCCTGCCAAAGTTCCTTTATTGTATAGGATTGTTTTAGCTATTTTGGGTTGTTTTTCCATATGAACTTCAGTATTGCTCTTTCAAGGTCTGTGGAGAATTGTGTTGGGATTTTGATGGAGATTTGATGAATCTGTAGATTGCTACTGGTAGGATGACCATTTTTATTTTGTTGATCCTACCTATTCAAGAACATGGGACATCTTTCCCTTTTCTAATATCCTTTTCAATTTCTTTCTTCAAGGACTTAAAGTTCTTGTTGTATAGTTCTTTCACATGTGGTTAGTGTCACCCTAACATATTTTATATTTGTGGCTATTGTAAAGGATGTTTCTCTGGTTTCTTTCTCAGCCCCAGTATTATTTGTACATGGGAGGGATATTGATTTTTTCAGTTAATCTTGTATCCTGCCACAATACTCAACGTGTTTACCAGCTGTAGGAGTTCCCAGGTAGAGCTTTTGGGGTCCCTTATGTATACCATCATATTACCTGTGAATAGTGATAGTTTGATTTCTTCCTTTCCATATTTTGCCCCTTAATTTCCTTTTGTATTATTATTGGTATAGTTAGAAATTCTAGTACTACATTGAATACGTAAGGAGAGAGTAGACAGCCTTGCCTTGTTCCTGATTTTTGTGGAATCACGTTTAGTTTCTCTCCATTTAGTGTGATGTTGGCTGTTGGCTTGCTATATATTGTCTTTATTATGTTTAGGTATGTTCCTTGTGGCTTTGATCTCTCCAGAACCTTTATCATGAAGGGGTGTTGAATTTTGTCGAAGACTTTTACAGTATCTGTTGAGATGATTGTGTGTTTTTTCTTTCAGTTTGTGTCTATGGTGGGTTACATTGACAGATTTCCATATGTTCGACCACCTTGCATCTCTGGTATGAAGGCTGCTTGGTCATAGAGGGTGTTTTTTTCATGTGTTCTTGGATTTGACTTGCCAGTATTTTTGTATCAAATTTCATGAGGTAGATTGGTCTGTAGTTCTCTTTCTTTGTTGCTTATTTGAGTGGTTTTGGTATCAGGGTTACTGTAGCCTCATGAAAGGAGTTTGACAATGTTCCTTCTGTTTCTACTGTGTGGAACAGTTTGAGGAGTACAGGTATTAACTCTTCTTTGAAGTTGTGGTAGAATTCTGCACTGAAACTCTCTGGGTCTGTGGGTTTTTTTTGGTTGGGATACTTTTGATGGCTGCTTCTATTTCCTTATGGTTTATACATCTATTTAATTTGTCCATTCTTGATTTAATTTTGATATGTGTGACCTATCCAGAAAAAATTGTCCATTTCTTTTAGATTTTCCAATTTTGTGAAGTACAGGTTTTCAAAGTATGACCTGATTATTCTCTGGATTTCCTTAGTGTCTATTGTTATGTCCCCCTTTTTCATTTCTGATTTTGTTTATTTGGATATTCTCTCTCTGCCTTTTGTTTAGTTTGGATAAGTGTTTGTCTATCTTGTTAATTTTCGCAAAGAGTCAACTCTTTGTATTATTGATTCTTTCTATTGTTCTCTTTCTTTCTATTTTATTGATTACAGTCCTCAATGGGATTATTTTCTCTTGTGTACTCTTTGTGGGTGAGTTTGCTTCTTTTTATTCTAGAGATTTCAGGTGTTTTCTTAATTTACTAGTGTGAGATTTCTCTAACTTCTTTATATAGGCATTTTTTTTTGCTATGAACTTTCCTGTTAGCACTGCTTTCATGGTGTCCCATAAGTTTGTGTATGCTGTACATTCATTTTCATTGAATTCTAAGAAGTCTTTAATTTCTTTCTTCATTTCTTCTTTGACCCAAGGATGATGAACTTGGGCGTTACTCAGTTTCCATGAGTTTGCCGACTTTCTAGAATTTGTGTTGTTGTTGAATTCTATATTTAAGCCTATGTGATCTGATAATATACAGAAAGTTTTTTCAATTTTTCTGTATTTTCTGAGATTTGCTTGTAACTGAGTATGCGTTCAGTTTTAGAGAAGGTTCCATGGGGTGCTGAGAAGAAGGCTTGTTCTTTTGTGTTTGGGTGTAATGTCCTACAGATGTCTATTAAGTCCATTTGAGTCATAACATCTGTTACATCCCTTATTTTTGTTAACTTTATGTCTGGCAGACCTGTTCTCTGGTGAGAGTGGGATGTTAGTTTCCCACTATTAGAATTTGAGGTTTGATTTTGGATTTAAGCTTTGGTAATGTTTCTTTTATGAATGTGAGTGTCCTTGTATTTCGGGCATATATATTTAGGATTGAGACTTCTTGCTGGATTTCTCCTGACATGAACATGTAATGTCCTTCATCATATCTTTTGATTACTGTTTGTTTGCTACACCAGCTTGCTTCTTAGGTCCATTTGATTGGAAAGTCTTTCGCTATCCCTTTCCTCTGAGGAAATGTGTATCTTTCGAGTTGAGGTGTGTTTCTTGTATGCATAAGAAGGATGGATCCTGTTTTCATATCCATTCTGTTAGCCTGTGTGTTTGTAAAGGCAAATTAACTCTATTGATATTAAGGGATATCAATGGCCAATGATTGTTGATCCATGTTGTATTTTAGGGATAGTGTGGTATAGGTTTGTGTTTCCTTTCTAGAAGATTTGCTGGTGTGGGATTATTTTGTGTTTTC